ACACACACACACACACACACACACACACACACACACACACACACACACACACACACACACACACACACACACACACATATTGTCCTGTTTCTGCTATTTGAAGATCTGCTAAGTTTCCAGGTATCCCCGGTGCTCATCTTTCTGTGGAATATGTTGCACTGTTCCTGGGCATTTTCCGTTTATTTGTCCTGGGCAGGATATAGAGGTCGTTCTGAGAAGAAAACATTCAGCTTTCTCCTTGGTTAAAAGATAGCATAAACAAAAACACAGTTTTCAAATTGCGATGTGTTTGTTTTTGTTTAATAAGGTGTTTGTGTACAAGTATGCTGGTTAGTTATCCGCGTAGATTTTCTTTGGTGTTACATTTTATCATGCCGTATAGTGGTGCCATTCCTTGTTCTGTCACACAGCAGAAAAAAGCCGAGGTAGACTGTATCCGTCTGATATCTGCAAGGTTAGAAAAGAGAGACAATGACACAGACACAAGAATGTAAAGTATGTGTGCTGAGGTTTTGGTCTATGGGAGAGTAAAATACTTTGACACATGATAGTGGCAAAGCTGATGACAAGAAAGGAAAATGGGGGAGTGGAAAAACCAAAATCCAACATTTTTTTTTACATCCCAATGCTATGCTTATGCTTAGCTTAACTAATTTATAATTCATCAATGGTTTGAAGTTATTTTTTATACAATTAAATCACATTATTAAGCATACAGGGGTGCAAGAATGAGGCACTCAATAACAGCTGTGTGTGTGGTGTCTGTCTGCATAAAGCACCACTTGCTTGTCATAAGTGAGGTTAAATAAAGGTCATTTTCTTCCATGACATTGACATGTCACTGATAGAATTACAGGACGTGTCCTGTACAATATGTAAAGGACACTCATGCATTTCTTTTTGTGAAGGTAAGAGGTTTCTATCTGCAGGCACTGTTTTCTTCTTCTCTGGCCTCCTATCTATATTAAAGAACATTTTAACAGCAATAAGAAACCACAGTAAAGTTTATCCTCGAACAGGTATGAAACTACTCTGAAACTACCCCAGGTCAATATAGCATACTATTGTTCTTTGACAGTGAAGCTGTTGAAAGTCTGATTCTTTTCTTTAAATACAGGTTGTAAAAGTAAAACAAGCTCTCAAAAATAACATTTACAGTCGCAGGACATCATTACAGTTCGTACAGAACTAAGAAAGAAGGCATTTTCTGCCCCGTCTTCAAGGACTAGATTATAGAAGCTCTCTCGATGATCGATTTCACTTGCAGACTTTAAAAGACATACAAATGACCTTGTGAAATCATCACTGGGAACTAGTTCCTGTTTTTGATATGACTGTGTAAACATTAGACAATTCTTTGCTCTTTTTATGTTTTTTGTTTTTTATTGTTGTAGTTTTAATATGTTGTCTCTCTTGTATTTGAGACATTGAGTCTCAGTGGGACTACCTAATAAATAAAGGTTAAATAAATAATGTCAACTACTTGTTTTGGAGACATAATGTTTTAAAGCATGGCATAAACCAAAATGTTTATAAAATATTTATGTTATGTGTTGATGTTTGGAGAGCAAAATTTAAATTTCAAATCTCTCAGGAGCTCTCCGAAGGCGAACAAATCCTCCTTAAAAGCACAAAAAAAGAGAGGCTGTATCTAAAAGTTGTAAAAGCTATAAAACTGATCAACTGCCCCACAACTAACTCAACTCGGCCAGTGCTACTAGTTATTACTAGTCTACTACTAGTCATTTCTTTCGATATAATGGAACAAGTTAAATAGTTTCATTGTATTTGACAAAGGTCATCTTGAGAAGACACACTGAACAGTGGACACACACGTGCGCCTCTGTTATGGTGGTATTTGAGGGTGTTTTTCCATAAACAGGAGAAAGAAAGGTGTGAGGACAGGTAAGCTTACGTAATAGTTAGAAGTCAGACCTAGAAATGTGTGTAATAATAATCCTTGCACATAATTATCCTTACAATGATATCATTATAATGATATCATAACAATAACAATAAAAATGATAAAGCCCTTCAAAATAAAGTCACAACATGGTTTATACGCAAACAGAAAGTCATTCAGATTTACTAGTTGGTGGCCATGTGAGAGTCCTGTGTGTTTAGACAGTTAGATTTAATCCCAGCCAGAGTAAGAAATAAAAAGTGAGGAACATAACCTGACTGGCTCCTAAACACATATCCATCCTTTTCCTCATTCATCTTTTAGCCATGCTAACACTACGGGCTAAGATGAGACACTAGAATATGACAGAAACCTATCGTGGTGCGGACCGAGGTGCAGATGAGCAGCTGAATCAACACTTTGCTCCAAACTACCTCACTGTATCAACTAAAAGTTGAGGGAGAATTCTCTCCTGCTGATCTCACTCTCTCTCTCTCTTTCTCTCTCCCTCTCTGTCTGTGTGTGTGTTTTGCTGGGCTCGTCAGTCAGGTGTCACAACACACAGCAGAGTGAGTGAGGATCCCAGTCAAAGGCAATCAAATGGCAGGGTAAGTGCTGTATTACTAATGAGAGACTTGGTCCCTGTTTTATGCACCCAGACGTGGCACGTTTTATGAGTAGCAATGTTTTAGTGAAGTTGGAGAGAACTTTAGCAACATTAAGTTTAGAAATAAATGGTTAGTTTATTGGAAATGTTATGAGCAGCTTGCTTAGACTGACATGAGGGTGGAAAGTTAAAAAAAAAAGCAAATACAAGTAGGTAGTAGCTGGTCCTGAGACAAACTGTAATCACCACCAGGGGGAAGCAAATCACAAGAGGTCGCTAAAGGAGATTTACTTCATATCAACTGGGAATTAAGTCCATGCTGAAGTGGCAAACACTGCAGTTCAACACAGACTCTTGTGATAAAAAGTCAAATTTTAGAGGATTCAAAAGCATATTTACTCACTGTAAAAAGGCCTTTGCATGGTTTCACCATTCATAACAAAACTGAGAAGGGTGGTTTATTTATTTATTTATTATTATCATCATCATCATTAGTAGTAGTAGTAGTATGCATGTATGAGGCCACGTCTGGCTTCATTTCATGGCTCAACAGTTTTCTCTGGTATCAACTGCCTACTGTTATATGCTACTGAGTCACTCTGAGAGTAGATAGTTAAGCATACTGTAACTCAAATTTGTGTATAAAATGTGGCATGTGTAAGACTAATGCAGACATAATGCAGTGGAGTTCCATTAGGAAAAGTAAGGCAAGTAACGCTTGCCTTACTATCACATTTAGAAATAGACATTAATTAAATAATACCGAAAAAAGGGATCTCTCTCCTTTCATTTCAGACAGTGCTGTCATAAAGCTCCTTGCCTGTTTACATCCATCCGTTACATTATTGCCATCTGTATGGTGTATCCATCTCCTGTTAACAATGGCTTGAACTGGGCAAGCTGAGAGGCCAGGAGCTTTTTTCTGTTTTTTTCACATTTGCATCATCGATAAACCTCTGCCATGTTAAACAGATGTGGGGAATCATCTCTGGATGCCTTTCAGTGGTCCTCGACACTGACATAGCTTTGACAGGCATGATTTGCTCGTCTTGGTTCAGGTGTCCATTGTTCTTGTGGTGTTATCATTTGGAGGATTGAAGGTGAAAGCTTTTGCAGATTGAAGAGCTTTGCTATGGGATCAACATGTGGTCATAAATATTTTGTACTTGTAAGTCAGTTTTGTACTTGTAAATCAGGATTTGTATGTGTAAAAAGAATTTGTGTGTGTGTAAAAAATTTTGTATGTGTAAAAAGATTTGTGTGTGCGTAAAAAAGATTTGTGTGTGGACTTAGCCAGAAAAAAACCCTGCAAGTTACAAGTACGAATTTTGACCCTATTTTTCTTCCTTTCATCTGATTGGTCAATGTCATGTCAATCACAAATGTAACAATCCAATCAGAGAACAGATGGGTTTGGCTGTTGGAGGGGCGCTTTTTTGAACTGTAGGCCCTTGAAGGGAATAAATGCCCTTTTACATGCCAACCCAGCGTTTTCCTTCATCACCACGAAGGAAAACAGTCTGTGGACGTACGAGTTTGGTGATTTTTGTGTCACAGGTCTACGTGTTTAATACAGGGACTTCCACAGCCTTTTCAACAGCGCTGCGGACTGCGGCGGCGGGGGGCAGTGTTTTGGGGGAGCAGTCTCCATTACAACGCTTTCTTGTTATGAATTAGCATACATGTTTTTATTGAACATTTGAAGAACTAGCAAAAAAACCCAGAAACTCTTGTAGAGGACATAAAGTCAGAGATAGAAACCATCTAGTACTGGTAGAGCTGCTGCAAAAACCCACAGAGCCCAGCAGCCAGCGCAACAAATTCTGGATCCTTTGCTTTTAGTTAGCAGTTAGCATTAGCAGCACATCCTGCGTCCCATGTGAAAGGACCTTTATGCTGCGCACTGTGACTCACAGCAATGGTCCCGGGTCAGCCCTGACTTTGTGTTAAACTAATCCTAAAGTAATAATAGTATTTCTAACCACTGATATACCACAACTTTTTCCTTTCAACAGCTGCTGAAAGTTAGGGGACCTAGCTGCTATCGGATATTTATATAGAGATCCTCCAGCTTCAAACTGTATTACCCTTCAAGAACCTGCAGTTCAAAAAAGTGAACCTCCGACAGCCAAACCCATCTGTTCTCTGATTGGATGGTTACATTTGTGATTGACATGACATTGACCAATCAGATGAAAGTAAGAAAAACCGGGTCAAAATTCGTACTTGTAACTTGCAGGGTTTTTTTTTGGCTAAGACCACACAAATCGTTTTTACACACACAAATTCTTTTTACACATACAAATCCTGATTTACAAGTACAAAATATTTATGACCACATTTTGAGCCCATAATTTTTGCCTTTGCAAGAAGTTTATTAATAGAGGCAGAAGATTTCATTTTCAAGAAGTCATCTAAAGTCATTTAAGGTCCTTGAATAATATATCTGTCATTAAAGGAGCCTTTGCCACTGTAGCTTAAAGCCATATAATGATTTCGTGTTAATGATGCAACTGATCTTGCCTGATCTGCACTTCTCGTTTTAAAGTATCTACAACCTCAGAGTACACCGTTGTTTTCAGAGATCATAACATATGTATATGGTATAATGTGTGTTACAATGAAAGGATTAATAAATAATATTAGCATCACACTTAGCATAGATTTGATTAGTGCATAACTCTAATGTACAGATAGAACAACCATTACTATCGCATTTGATGTTAAGCTGCCAGTTTCATTCACTATGGGGTCACTTCAATGCAGACAAAGTTTCTTCTGTCTGCGCAGTCCCTGACCATCCACGTGCTGTTTGTGTCAAACTTGGACAAAGTCCCACAGTGTTCCCAGTTGGACGGACAGTCCGGCAGCATATCTTTGGGACCTGGTTTGTCTCCATTTAACCAAAACCATTTTCCTCCCAGGAAGCGCAAGCCAATCCAAGCCTGAGAAACACAGGACAAAACTGGGAGAGTCAGTCCTGGCTGTGGAAGTGTTGATATAAGAGATTTCTATTTGCAAATTAAGCCGGACACAAATACTCATTACCGAGGCTTTAGTGAAGCCTTTCCTGAAATGAATATTGATCCTTTTTTTAATTTACCCCCCCCCCCCTCCTTCCCCCCCCAATGCAGTTGTTTTGTACAGTATATATTTTCAACGCATTGGACATGAAAGGACATCTCCACAGCACAGCCTGGAATTTATGCCTTAAAGCACTGAACTAGTAGAAAGACTAAAGCCACTTGAACGTGAACTCCTCTGGTGTTTAATGCAGAATCTATGAACAAGTGATGCATTTAGAAGAACATCTATAATTCAAAACTAATAAACTCAAACCTCATCAGTGGTTGCTCTGTAGATCCTGTCTCTGACATAGTTGTACTGAGAGACATCGGTCAGGCTCAGGAGGTCGTACGTACAGCCAGCACATGATGCTTTCATCTCTCTGCAGTGAATCAAGGCGTCCTCCCATGTCTTGTTCTCATTCACCACCACCAGGTTGTCAACAAAACAAAAAGGGTTAAACTTTTCAGAGCAAGCATAGCCTACCCAGCCTCCGATAAAAGCATGCAAAGAGCCACAGTCTGCAGTGAGTGGCTGTCCTGGTGCCCAGTTTCTGTAACTAGATGCTAAACTACCCGTCCAGTTCCAGGTCTTGCCTCCCACTCGATACAGTCCAATCCAGCCCCGTTTGTCAACATCACCTGAGTTTACCTGGGTGACAGTGGCTAGGTAACCATAGTTTTCCATACAGTACTTTACAGCATCATACCAACTGAGCATAACAGTGTGATACTGGATTACATCACCTCGGGAACAGTAGACATTATTGATACTTGAACATTGTGCACTGTACCACATGAGGTCATCTCCTACAACTGCACAGTAGTCCTGCTGTGCAGAGGCCCATTTGCTGGTATGTGAGAGGTCATCACCTGAGACACCTTCACCTGTTCTGAAATCAACACAACAATCATCTCAAAATCAGCAACTCAGTTTTGTCATATTTACATAAACAGACATGGATATTGACATAAAGGTCATTTCAAAATTGACACTCACCTTAGATTTATAGACTTCCAGAATGAGTCATCTTCAGGATCTCTGAGCAGACCAATCCAAGTGTTTGGGATATTCCTTTGGACCAAAAATGGTATAATAACTTTCATATTTATCATCTCCAAAGTAGCCAAGTCAACATAATGTGTCTGGCAGAATAGTCTTGCTTGTGTCCAGTTCCTTTTCCCAATAAAAATTTGTGTGTCACGTTCAATGTTTCCTTGTAAGCCACAGGCAGCAATGAGTACGAGGCAAAGTGCCAGTTCAAAGTTGCTTTTCCCCATATCTGCTCCTGTTTGGACAACAAGCCACACAGATCAGTTTTCAGAGATTGTATTTGCTGTCAGTCAGTTTATGATGTGATCCGTGGCTGCTGAACAGCAATCACCCTGCTTTTATAGCAACCAGCTATGTGATCAGTGCCACCTACACACACCTCAACATCCAGCTTACCAATAGGAACTCTGCACAATTTCAAATACATTTCAAGTGGCCCTGTTGTTGTACTCTCCTGTTGTCACCTTTGACTTTGTTCTTAAAGATGCTCTCCTACTCTACTGTGACACTACATGTTTTATTTTATATTTGTTGAAATAGTTTGGGAAAACTCTTCCTTTCTCTCTAATTGGGAAACTAATTGCATCTGTTTGAGAATGTCTAATTTCTTTCTTAATAAGTGTGCAATCCAGTTAACTCCCACTACTACTAAGAAGTGAGGTTTTAACAACAGCTCAATCATATTCAGTCTTGTATGGAGCTTGAAACAGAGTTAATCTTAGTTCAATCTTAACCCTGTACCCCTAGCATTACCCACTGCTAAAACCCCCACCAAATCTGGTATATATTTATACGATATTTGCATGAATGGGGGTCTTTGCTTCTTTCAAGCAGTTACAAAGGAAATAGGGATTGCAAAGTAACATCTTATCCCTGCTACCTGCAGGTAACGTCAGGTATAAATTAATTTTGAGACTATAATAGAGAGTAGCATGTAGAAAAATATGTTAAAATCCCACCTGACGCTCTCTTGTCTGCAGGCGCCTCCTCTTCTGCTAAGCGGGAAAATTACTTTGGAGAATGTATTCCAGACGACATTTGGGAGAACTGCCTTGAAAACATACAAGAACGCTTTCAATTGTCTTGTTCAGTTTAAATTCATTCCCAGGCTTCATTACATTGTCGGGTATGTAGCTCAGTGGTAAAGCACATGCTTTGCATGTCTGAGGTCCTGGGTTCAATCCCCAGCATCTCCAGGTTTTTATACCATCGAGCTACAGCTCAAAACTTCTACTGAATTTCCTGGAGGAATCCACCCGAGGGATTAATAAAGTTTCATCTACTATAATCTACTCCGAGTTGCTGTATAATATGTATCAAAATGCGTCCAGAGTTTTTGACTATCCCACAAAATCCAGCTTTTTTTGGCTGAGATATGTACCCTAATGTATGCGGTCACTAAGACACTGTTTAGACCAGAACCTTTTTTTTGCTCACTCATGGTGTTTCTGAGACTTTCAGAAACGTTTTCTGTCATATTGTCTTTTAGCAGGCAATAAATAAATAGATAATAAATAGACTGCCCACTCAACCTGACAAATACGCTCCATCTAAAAAAGATAAGACAAGCTGGGGATGACAAGAGATGTACCTGGAAAGACTGCTGAGTGAGTGAGATTCTACATTGGACTTATTTGTGGATGTGAGAGGGATTTTTATTTTCTTTCTTTTCTGCCTCCACATCAATCTTTCCCTAAAGTTTTCATAAAATGTAGATGTGTCTAACAAAGGATCAGACGTTTCTTTCTACAAGAAAAACCATGACAGTAAAAGTGGCCTGATCTCATTTGCTCCTTATGTAAGAAAATGGGAATCGTAAAAAAACAAATTTTAAGTAAGCACATAAAGTGGACCCAAATGCAGCCATGTGTGGTGGAGTAAAAGGCTCTGATGCTCTGTGTTTTAAAGCCCCAAAGAGATTTTCTACATTCAAATCCAGCCAGTCTCTGGGCTTAGTTGGCAAATTAAGGTTAGGTAAATGTCTGAATTTGAATCTTATTCAATATGACAGGCTACTGACCTCTGTCTCTTTCACGAGTCTTAGTTATTGGTCCAAATGACTGAAGTGCAGAAGAAGATGATGAAATGATGAATGAAGATATCAGCAGAAGGCAAAAGAGCAAAGGACTTTCAAACTGGATCTGTTAAAATAAAGCCTTTGGTATGGTCGGCCGTCCTGAAATATTTAACTGACTCAGGATAATGAGCCAAACATGTGAAGGGAAAATCCATCAGTTATCATCATAAAGCTTCATAATTCATAATGTGGATCAGCTGTGGACTGCCTTTCTTAATTTTGAATATAAACAGAGAAGAGAGTACAGTCTAATACTCTAAAACCATCTGCATTGTTGAAGCCAGATTGATATAAAAGTTCACTTTAACTAGAACCAAGACTGCAAATGAAAGTGATGTGCAGTTATAGGTAGAAAAATCAGATTTTATACAACAATTTTTATTTGTTGTATAAAAATATGGAATTTTTCATAGATTCAACTAAAGAAATGGGAGCAGATGTTGCGCCGGATATTTTGATGTCTAATCGCATTACTGACTCGTGGTTGCAGGGACAATTCATCCGGGTGTCTTGTTCTAAAGTGAATACAAGAAGGTCTGACCAGCACAACATTATAGAAGGAAAAAAAAATCTGATGGTAAACTTCCTACAGACTACAGAAGAAAATCAAGCCTACATCTACAACAAATGTCATAGACATAGACATCCAGATATCTCATTAAACACAACGAAAGGCCGTATCAAACGTAGTTTTTTATCTAACTTATCTTCTTAGGCTTTTCTGGGCCTGGATTCTACAAAAAACATGGTCATAGAATGATTTTTTGATATATTGATTAGGAGTTAGAGCACCTAACCTGCTCCTCTAATAACTAATGACCCAAGATTACATAGTGACCCACAGAGCGAATCAAACAGCTCAATATGGAGAAAAAAAATCAGTAAGGGCTGGATTAAAGTGCACTCAGCTTTTATTTTTAACATCAGTGTGTCTCATGAAAAGTGTGAGCAGCTGCAGCAAGATATATGTAAAGAAACATACAAATATATTTAATATATGAAAAAATTAAAGTAGAATGCATAGACAGCAAATAACCACATACACACAAAGCATAAAGAGTGATACACCCTGAGCTGTAAAAACTTAAAGCAACTCTGCTCTGTGCTGTCTTTATGGAAAAAGCAACATATAAATATAGATGCTCACTTCATTCAATAAACTCCAGTACATCAACATCTTCAGTGTACTTTTAATTTATTAGCATATGCAAATTATGTTGACTAAGAGTTTTTATTCACAGTCATTCTTTGATGATCAGCTTTTCCTCAGAGTAAGTGCTTCCCTCAAGTGGACAAACTGACCTACTGTTAAAAGCACATGTAGTTCCTGCATTAGTGAGCAGGCATAAATGGAGTAGAGAGAGAAAAATGTCAGTGCCATGTAGTAAAACATGGCACCGACTGGCTACAATGCACCGTCATTTCTTTCCTTTTCCTTCCACCTGCAGCTGAGATGAAAACATGTTTACAGATTCAAAATCAGCAAGTGATACTAAATTACTTGTAATCACAATTTCAAGTTTAAGTGGCCTGTATGTTTATTATAATTAGATTTTAATGATCATGTGATTGTAATGATTTTTTTCCCATAGTCTTTGATAATTAGCGTCACTTATGAAAAAAAAATCACATCGTCCTTTCAATAAGGAATCAGAATTGGTACAGGTGATTTTTGCGTCGTTGCACTGCATAAATGTGGAATTATAATATTTCCAAAATAAAACAGCTATAAAATGCCAGTGTTGTTTTTCAAGCTAAGAGAACGACTTATTTAGATGTAAATGAGCTCATTGCTCTTTGTCTGCCTGGTTTTTCTTTTCTCTACACACATACATACACTAATTTTAAGTAAGTAAGCAAGATTTATTTGGCTTGTGGTCACGAATAATTTAAAGCGTGAGAAGAAATTATTCAAAGCATCTAAATTGAACAGATCAAAGTGTAGGAACAGATTGTCTCGTCATATCTATGAGCACTTTCAGTAAAAGTATTGATTTTAAACATTTGCAACAGCATTATCTCCAGACCATGGCTCAGTCCAGCTCTCACTTTAGTTAGCCTGGTAACAAAATAGAAACAGTTTGTGTATCTATTTTCAGTCTGTCACATCCTGACTTGATTTCTTCTTTTGCTCCGTTGATACAATAGTGATCATATCATCTTCGGTTTCTTCCCCACCTAAAAGCACAGACACATTGTATATTAATTGTCAGTCTATTTATTCTTCTCAGTCATTTCTTGTGCTAATAAATTTATCCATTACTCACCGAAGCATTCCTGGAAGGACTCAGATTTGACCAGGAAGGCGTATAACAAAGCTGCCACTAACAGGACGCCAAAGAATCCTCCAAGAATACAGCCAATGAGAAGGACATTGGTTGCACCAGTATCTAGGCATAAAGTAAAAATAAAAACAACATGAGTGCAAAACAGGACACCGCCATGTAAAGGAAACTTTACATGCTGTCTCAACTACACAGGCTTTTCGTGGTCTCTGCAGATTGAGCCAGCCTTGTTGCATCGTGTTTAAGAGAGGTCTCACCTTTCAGAGGGTATCATTCTTTTTCTCCTTATCAGAGGAGAAAAAGATCACTATATCTAAGATTATAACTGTATCTGGATCCTATGTATCCAAGTCATGCCATGAACAGATATGATGAAGAAAGCTTTCAGTTTTAAGGCATTCCTCAGAGATGAGCACCTCCCTGTAGTTTGTGTGCTTAGAAATGTTCAAAAATCTCAATGCCCATATATGGATGAGCTGGATGATGTAACCAGAGCAGCCCTAGTCTCGGCAAAGTAAATACATTAGAAATTAGACTTGCACCTGATTATGTACTCTGTGTGTGTGTGTGTGTGTGTGTGTGTGTGTGTGTGTGTGTGTGTGTGTGTGTGTGTGTGTGTGTGTGTGTGTGTATTTAACTGAAAAGGCTGAAAAGACGCATTGCTTATTACACTTTCAGTTTGTCACAAGGTGCGTCCTGCTTCGAGGTAGGTAAAACTATATGCTCTCTATCTCCTCTTTTCTGCCTCACTCAGTCCTCTACTTCCTAGAGAGATTGAAAATGAACACTGACAAAAAACAAACAAACCACTGAATAAAAAGCTAAAGGGTTAAAATGACTGCACATTAATGAAATGCTGCCAAATTGAAGTTAAGAATCTCATATTGAAGAAACAATTTGAGTTTTAGTGGTTTATCTGCAAAAAAATGATCACTTAAACTTGTTGCCATAAGATGTAAAAGCTGCAATGCCCATTGTCTGTGGAAAGTCACTAAGCTCAGGGTGTCCTCTTGACAGTACAGCAGGACTCCATAGACTGCAAACATTTTGTTGGGCACAGTGGTCTCAGACTTAGTGTCCCCCACAGAGAATTGACAGGTCTTAGTGTGTAATGTTGAGGTCCTACAATTAAGAGAGAAAACCCAAAAGTCAGATGATCCCCTCTGAGAAAGAACTAGGAGATGATGTTCTTTCTCCTTTTAACCCCCTTTTAATGGTAAGAAACTACGGGAAACGCTCAAAGTGGGGCAACCATCTGATTAAACTGCAACTACTGAAAGGTACAAATAAAGCGACTTGGACCTGAACCCAAGAGACTACTGGATTGAATTAAACTGAAGACATGCAACGTTAGGCAATGCACTTAGTTTTACTGTATTTCAATACTTCACCATAAACATGCAGGACGGCAGAGAGCGCTCTCGGGTTGCTCAGCTGCTGACAAACTACTCTTGTGCCGTTGTGGGGCAAGGCAGTTCCCAGGAGGGTCCACGTAGCCAGCGACTCTCCATTCTTCATTTCACAACGTCCATAGACAGCCTGAGGACGGGGACAGAGGAGAGAAAGGAGACTGAATAAGGGATTCAAAAGTGCTTCAAAAGAAGGCGTTTTCATAGGGTGATTGATGGTGGTCAATTTACAATGTCAACACAATCTTAACACACGTAAGACGATGATACTATAAAATGATCCTGGGTCGTTTGATGGGGATGAGTTTAAAATGCACCATAGTGCAAACATGTTAAACTCATGATTGAATGTCCTTATAATGACCACTTACAATGAAAAAAATGAAAATGCAGACACGCTTAGAATATATAAATCCACGGCACAGTTCTCTGTGAGGGCTGCTGTAACCTTATTGTAAATGTGACTTGGTTCTACTTTGGTTTCCTAGAAAAGCTTTGTCACATTTGTTCCTCGATGTGCACATCCTGTTTCTCCTTCTTCAGAAAGACTCCCTGTAACATGTAATCTAATAGCAGCTGTTTCCTGTCAGAAAACAACAGTCACATGGTCACTCCCCCCTCCCCTCCCTCACCTGGGGGATGTCTTCCACGTGGCCACCGGGGCAGGTGAGGCTGTAGTTGTGATTACTCCCATACAAGGTAAACGTGAGGTTCGGATGCGCTTCGGGCACGCCACAGTGAAACACTGCAGGCTCTCCCACACCCACTGAAATGTTAGATGGTTGTGTGCTGTACTTGAGAGCACCGGTGCTTGGAGCTTTGGTGGTGGTGCTAGCAGTAGTCAAAGTTGTGTTTTGAGCTGGAGCAGTGATTGGGTGATCAATGCATGCGCGTGAGAGAGAGAGAGAAGAAAGAAAAATGATCAGGTAAAAAGTAAAAAGTTGCAATTTAACAAATGCACTGCTGACCCAAATATATCAGCAATTTATATTTGGTAAAACTAAAGAGTAAAAAAATTCTTATAGAAAGTAAATAACATCAAAGTTATTTCACAAAATAAATACAAAACAAATATCCAACCACAGAGTCACACCTCCTCTCCTAAATGTATATCTAGCCTAATGACTGGAATGAATTGGATGGAAAGATTTGCAACGATGGAATGAGGAAGCGTGAGAGAGGAATGTCTCAGTGACTGCAAAGTATATTTTGGAAGTCATGGATGTGGTTGGTTTACCTGAGGAAGGTGTGCTGATCTGGAGCACAGTCAGAAACAAGCACATCAGAGGAAGTGCCCTTCTGCTCCTCATTTCTCCGTCCATATTTTCTTCACTATAGTTCCAGTTAGTAACCTGCAAACAACAAAAACTTCATAAAACATAAAAGAAGTTCTGTGAATGCAAAACCAGGTTATACGGGTGCCTGTGTGCGGGAGTGTGTAGATAACCAGTTATTTATACAACCATTCTTTTCATGGGTGTAGTGCAGCAGTAGATGAACACTGTTCCAGAATTAGATATAGCAAACTGAGAGTGTTGACAACAACATAGTTTTAAAAATACTATAAATTAAACATACACGCAAATGACTTACTTTTTTCATTTTAGAAAACATATGAATTTCAAATGAAATTACTTACACTGACCACAAAACGAACTGGAATTTCCCAACCAGCTCTACAGAAAGCTTCCTTATTTGAAGATTGTTTGACGGTGCCTCTTTAAAAAGAAAATCCTATTTATTGCACAGATGTGGTGGAGACCGGCCGCTGTGACGAACATCTGCACCCACTGTCCATAACAGTGTCACTGTCCTCACACTTCTTACCCTTCGCTGCTTCACTTCTTTCTGCCTATCTCCATCCGCTCGCTTCAGAAGTTCAGGACAACAGGGCACTTTTAGGAATGTGGAAGACTTCCTTATGTGCAAGCTGGATTGATGAAAACAAGTAACAAACAGGTTATGCAGGCCCAGCCTGAACCGATTATAGCTGGGTCAGACGTCAGGTTCGCGCACGCGCACACACACACAAACAAATGTCTTAAACCTGTCTTCTTTGTTCACCCTTCAATCAGTGATGCTTCTCTTTGAATGGTTTAAAAAAGGCACAAGGGACAAAGTTCATGGTAAATGATCGTGACCTGCCAGAACTGCCTTCCTTCTGTTAGAGGGTTTTCTTCATTTTTACATTTTCAAGGTCAAGGTCAAGGTCAAGGTAACTTTATTTATACCCAAAGGCAAGGTAAATTTGCTTTACAGAAAAATGACAGCATTTGGCATCCCTTTAAAAACACACATTTTGGTGTTTGGCTGGATGGAAAAAATAATCGAGGGGCATTTGTTTTCAGCGTTGTCATATTTTCATTACGAAGTGAGAGTAATAACAGAAATGGAAGTTGAACTAGTGAAACACAAGTTCCCCATCTGCCAGCTTATAAAAAAAATCTTGAAAAAAGTGAATAATAAGTTACAAATAAATGAATATTTGCTGTAATTTATTTATGAATGGGTTTCACAAATGTTATTAAATTAGTTTAAGACCAAAATAAAACCATTCTATCTTCTGTTTTGTTGTTTTTTCACCTGACTTTAAATTGTCACATTTTTGGCAATGAGTCATAACGGAGGATGGGTGAGAGACCGCTGAGCCCTCCCACTGTCTGAATCTCAAGTTCATGCAGAGGTCTCAATGCAACTCTACAGAGCAGAATGCAGAAATGTGTAGCTGGCGTCTACTGTATCAGCTGTAACCCCAAGACTTCAAAGCTGTGTGGAAATATTGCGCATTGATGTGGAGATGATGATCGCAGTGCTGCTGCTCCTGACTGTGAAGTCAGGTAAGAAGATTATTTATCAATTGAGTTTTAAGATAACATAAAAGCTTGGAATGGAATAAAACTTCTTTTGATTGCAATTCTAGACTTTTTTTTTAAGTATACTTAGTAATTATCTGTTATGTCTACACTGCATGGGGGTGCTTTTACTTTGTAAGAGCCAAAGAGTGAATGTGGAACATGAGGATAGAAAATAACACAGTTGTTAAGATGACTGTACCTGCTGAAGCAATGATGCATCAAACAGGAATAAATAAAAAGATGAGACAATGAGTAGAGGGATTATATTATTCTGAAAGCAGGTACTTTCCAAGATTCAAATTTTTACAACCAAACCATCTTTTTTTCTTCAAAGTTTCACTTTGATGTTTTGGACTTTCAGTTGCTAACGTGTAGCAGAGGAAGACTTAAATGCTGAAACAGTTAAAATGCTGTTTAACTGTTTCAGGATGTGTGATTTTCAGCGACTGCAGACACTCAAATACAAAAAAGTACTGTGGGATTTTCCTCTTTGAAAGTGAGCAAGAAAAAACATTGATGAGGATGAGAACAGCAATATTATTCTCCTTAAATTTTATCAGAACCGATTGTAATCCATCAAATATGAAAAGCTTGGTAGAGAGCTGCCAGAAGAATATTATCTGATAGCAATTAGACAGTCACGTCACAAAAAGGAAACACACCCAACCTCTACTTGCTCTCTTAAAGGAACCTACTTACGTTCCTATTCTCTACCCAAAACACGTACCCAGTTTTCACTGTGGCAGTTCACATGCACATTTGAAAGTATTTGCATTACACGCACTGCTGGCAATCATGTAATCGGGTAATTTCCCCTGATTAACTGACTGTTTTAGTATCTGTCAGGTCAATGTTTGGTTATTTGTTTCAGTCTGAAAAGCCAAACCAAAATTATGACAAGGAAAAGCTGCAGTTAGTGGAGGCCGAATAAGAGTGAACAGCAGAGTGATCTTCACCTTCTTGTTGTTGCCTTGTTTTGACAACTTCACTTCCTCATTTTTTTGTAAGAAGTAAAAAACACACTGTTCAGTGGTTTACTTCAATTTCCCCTTTACGTCTTGTCTTTGAATTCTCCATAATAATAAAAGAAACTAACAAAATATGTTCTGTCGTGTTTCATCACCTGTCAGCAGGAACTGTGAGTGCTGCTCGGTCAGTGACATTTGAAAACCCAGATCTTTGTGCTATAAAGGGATCATCTGTGACTTTTAGGTGCGTATACAACTACACAGCTGGGGAAACTGTTAGAACGACTGGATGGTACAAGGGACGTTTGGAAAATGGTGTCTGGAAACGAGTTGAGCTTTCAGACCTTCTGTCGTATCGCCATCGTTATGAATATCTTGGCGACCAGCAGCACAACTGCAGCCTGAAAGTTCATGACCTGCAGGTTAATGACACTGGATATTACTACTTCCACTTTGGCACGGATACGATAGGAATGCGTAGCAAAACTTCTGTGCATCTGACCGTCTCAGGTAAAGTGATTTTACATTAAACCTGCTCTCCAGACTTAATGTTCCCAGCCTCTTGTTCTTTTTTAAAAAATATATATTTAACTGACCCACATCCAGAGATGAGAGCCACAGTGCAGCCGGAGAGAGTGAGAGCTGGAGAAAAGGTGACTCTTGAATGTGTGACATCGTGCCAACTTGGAAGCACACTCTGGTTCAAAGATGGACATCCAATGACAAAAACATTGTTGTGGGCGCAGGCAGAAGACACTGGGAAATATTCATGTACTGTCAAGGGGTATGAGTCAGTGCAATCACACCCTGCTGCTCTGGATGTTCAGTGTAAGTAGATGAAGATAATATTGATTCTTGCAAGCTGTGTTTTTACTCATACAACACAAAGTGCAACCAGTGACTTTGTTTAATGCAGATTCTCCACTGAACGTGTCTGCTGAGGTGAGTCAGGCTGGCCTCCTGTCAGTGGGCAGCAATGTGAATCTTACCTGCAACAGCGCTGCTAACCCTGAAGCAGATAGTTACACCTGGTACAGCTCCAGCTCCAGGCTTCAGGTGGCCTCGGGCCAGGTGCTGTCTCTTCCCTCTTTGGAGGTGTCCCACAGTGGAGTCTATCTCTGCCAGGCCGGGAACAGTCTCGGAGAAAGCAACTCGACGGCGGTCCTGCTGGAAGTGGAAGAAACAAAGAGTGAGTCTGTCAGGCGAGTGGGCATAACCTATTGTTCAAATGATGCAAATTATTAGTAGATATTTCATAAAACTGTTAAGAAATCCAATCTAGTGGCTCAAAAAAATGTGCATTTATTTTTAAATTTTTGCAGAGGAAACTATGCAGGCTTGGTCATTTGTCATTTTCTCCTACTTTTCTTAACAGTTGATCGTGTTATCCTCCTTTTTGGTATTGGAGTCAAAGTGGTTTTGATGCTTTTCCTTACACTGATTATTATCTGGGTTCGGTAAGTGAATCATACCAACTACTCCTAATTTAGTAGCAGTTGGATGATTTTGAATGTTTTTGTGCTGTGTTTGCAAACGTCTCTCGTTTCCTTGTTAAAGGAAGGGGTGGTGTAATCCTGCTGGGGAGAGTAAGGTGAGAAGGATGACACGTTGGACTCGGGTCTGTTTGAAATATTGATTCAAACTGATTATAACCGTCTCTCACAAAATGTCTAATGTTGTCCTTTTATGTTTCAGATGGACAGCAATGATTATGAAAATATGACAATGTGAAATGGGTAAAAATAACCCAGAAAACAAGAATCCACACATACTATTATCATTTGCTAAATGTTGTCAGTACAAAAGCAGCAGGCTTTAAAACAAGTTTTAGAGACAGGAAACATTTTATGAAAGTTTGACCTTATTCAACCTTGAAGAAGAGATCAGAGGTCTAAAGTAACATGATATTTAGAATATCCATATACAGCAGGTAAAACTTGTATATAATATAATATAATATAATATATAATATAATATAATATATATAATATAATATATATATATAGATATAATATATATAATATAATATAATATAATATAATATAATATAATATAATATAATATAATATAATATAATATAATATAATATAATATAATATAATATAATATAATATAATCATAATAATAATATAATATATATATATATAAATACTAATACTAAATAATACATATAAGATAACGAATTAATATAATATAATATAATATAATATAATATAATATAATACAATCATCAATACTAATATAATATAATATAATATAATATAATATAATATAATATAATATAATATAATATAATATAATATAATATAATAGGGGCACGGTGGTTAGCACTGTTGCGCACAGCAAGAAGGTCCTGAGTTCAATTCCACCATCAGTCTTTCTGTGTGGAGTTTGCATGTTCTCCCCGTGTTTGCGTGGGTTCTCCCGGGTACTCCGGCTTCCTCCCACAGTCCAAAGACATGCAGCTTGTGGGATAGGTTAATTGATTAATCAAATTGCCATAGGTGTGAATGTGAGTGTGAATGGTTGTCTGTCCCTATGTGTTAGCCCTGCGACAGACTGGCGACCAGTCCAGGGTGTACCCCGCCTCTCGCCCCATGACAGCTGGGATAGGCTCCAGCGCCCCCCGCGACCCTGGAAAGGATAAGCAGAAGCGAATGGATGGATAATATAATATTTAAGCATTGACTACGTCAACAAGTAAATATACTTCCAAAGGTGCTAAACTGATCAAATCCACACATTATGCAATATTTTGTGCAAAAACCTTTGTTGGTGACTACAGCTTCAAAATGCCTCCTATTTAAAGAGAAATTATTTGCATGCATTGCTCAGTCGTGATTCTTCCACACAAACAGTCCTGATGGTTCAGTGGACCCTTTCTGTGAACTCTGACCTTTAGTTCTTTCCATAGATTTTCACTTGGGTTCAGGTCAGCTGATTGGCTGGATCATTTTAGCAGCTTTATTTTCTTCCTCTGAAACCAACTGAGAGTTTCCTTTGCTGTGTGTTCGGGATCATTGTCTTGCTGAAACGTCTACCTTCGTTTCATCTTCATCATCCTGGCAGCAGATACATTTTTTCATTCATCCTTCCTTCAGTTATATTAAACGTGTTGGCATGGTGTTGTTGGGGAGATATATGTAGTGCCTTTTAAACATGGTGTGTTTTTTGGCATCTAAAGAGTTTTTCAATTTTGGCCTTGACATTGCTTTCTGATTACTGATAGATTTCCTCTGGTGCCATGACTTTCCACATCTTTTTGCGTCTCCCTTTTTTCCTGGGTTCAATACTTTTTCCCTGTGTCATTTCCCATTATTACACCTAATTTGTGGACATCTGTGGTTTATTTTCCTTTCATGTGTGGATTGGATGGGTTATTACTGACATCTGGTGAGAATTTCATGTCAATAGCACCAATAGCACCAGAAACATATTTACTTAGAAAATTGGTGACATGATAAATACTTATTTTACCTGCTGAATCAGTCCTTATGTGCCCAAATGTTGTTAATAAAAACAATGGTAATATAAATGTAGTTGTAAATAGCTCTATATAGCATTAGTTACTTTTACCTTGGAGGAGAGGTCAGCGGTCATGTGACATGAAATTTAAAATCTTCATACAGTGCTTTCTATATGTTGCCAATACGCACCACACTTGATGGTCTTATAGTCTCTAAGTTATAAGGATTTTTATCTTTGTCCAATAAATGATTAACTTGACCTAGACGACCTTGGTGGATGTAAGCCAAATTTTAATGGATCGTTAACGTGACCTCACTCTATGTTCCTACAAAGTTTTATCGGAATCAATTCAGATTTTTAGCTGACAGACAGAATGACAAGCACAGAAAACATAACAGGTTTATGCAGAAAGAAAGAAGAAGAAGAAAAAGCTGAGCTGCAAGATTGCCTTCATTAATACTGGATCATTGTTCAATTTCACAGCGCAGGGAGGGAGAAAATATAAATGTTTAATTTAACAATTGAGGCCCACAAGCCTTAGTGTGAATAGGAATTCTCCTGGGTGAAACTGAGAGGACATGTGATCACTTTAAGTCTTCCTTCACACCAGTGTGTTATGTTAGCCACATTGCTGATGTGTGGACATATGGCTTTCATTGGTTACAACAGTTTCTGCTCCCCCTTGAGTTTACAATGAGCATGTGCATTCTCTTCTGCTCACAGGTCACATGACACCATCGCTCTCATAGTCTTTTCTGTTGCTAGAACTGTGGTTAATGTTTTAAAATGTTCAATGTTAATTGTGACAGAGGCTTGGATAAATATTTGCTGCCATATAACTGTATAAAGATTATTGTGTAAAACTTGTTGCCTTTTGATCTGCTTCCGGCTCTTCTTTTTTTAACTATTTTTTTTAAATTTCCAAGTTCAGTTTGACTTTGGAAACGGTCCGAAGTCTGAGTTATTAAGTTTTGGTTCCACTGCAGTTTGCTGGATGCTTTTCAGTATAAATTTCAGCTCGTGAGCATTTAATGAAATTATGAGTTGGCACTGACAGAACAATACATGCTCTACAGATCACATGGAAACATCAAATGGCTGCAAAAATGTGTAATAAATGCAACTTGTTACAGCTAAGAGTCACATGTGCAAAACTGTCTCTTTGGATAGTTGTTAATGAAACACTTTATTGTTTATTAAAACAACTTTGCACGTCACACCTCACTTTAATATGGCAAATCAAACAAAAGCAAAATCCTAAAATAGTGCAGTTTTTAGATGTCCGGGTGTTAGAGTCACTGTCCTCTTGGTTTTCATCCTCTCCCACTTCTCCTCACGCTCTGCTGGAGGCTTATCGCTCTCAGGAGTTTACTCAAAGCCACACAAACAGGATCCAGTTGGACTTGCCAGCAGCACTTAATTGGGTTATCATCTTCGCAGTCATCATCACTGGCAGGCCTTCAGTAATAACTTCTTCAATGCTTTCTCTTTCTGAACATTGCTTGTACATTACCCGGTGCACTTTGTGCTGTGTGGTTACAACCTTGTGTCAGGAAGTGTTAGCGAGATCTCCGGATGTCGCCTGTAGTCGTGTTATGCAATGAACCGTGGAGGATATTTAAATTCAAATCTGTTACTGCAACACTCCAACAAACTGAAGCGAATAACATAAAATAATAAAATAAAATACAAATAAAATAAACTTAAAAACAGTAATAAATACATTTGAGGTCATATGAAGGGGTGACATTTGTTTCCTAGCTTCTTTCTTTTGGAATAAAACCTTTTCTTAGAGATGCATCACTTCATCCTCGACTCAGTACTAGGCTTAATCCTAAAGAAGAAATGCATTTAAACTAATGGAAAACAAGCGGGTGAAATACATTCTGACGGTGCTCCATTGTTTGCTTCTTTCTGAAAAGGAAACGAAAGCTCAGGTCAGTGCTTTGAAATCTGTCGCATCCTGCTTGCTTGAATGAACATTGATGTTTATCACATGAGCTGCACACGCTCACAGCTGGTGAGAACCGGTGCCAAAATTTGATTACCACCTTACCGTGTGTTCACACCGAACGCGATGGGCGCGTGAAAAAACGCCAAAACGCCCCTAACTTGACGCCTGCACATTCGCGACCTCTACGCGTGTCCAAGAAAAATCGCCCGCGCCCCAAAATATCATATTTTCACGCGCGTGAACCGGAAATGTG